AAACGACAACAGATAGCTTCATGTCTAGTCACAGCTTTCAGTTTGAGTATTGATATCTATTTATTATATGATCTAAGAGTTTCCTAGGATTCTTTGTACTTTAATAAAGTCATATTTACAGTCGTCAAAAAGTTCTGCCCGACTTTAAATTTCCCCCACTTTACATTCAATATGCATTGAATTCGGAGGCCATCATTTAGAGCCCTTACTTTAATTGAAAGAGAATGAGGCGAGGGGACTCATGTAAATTAAGCACCCTGATAATGAGAGGCGAAAAGACTCACATAAATGAAGCAGAGCCTGATAGGTCAAAGACAAGGAAACTCACCTAAATCAAGCACCCTGAGACGCGAGGGGATTCACTTAAATCAAGCACCCTGATACTTGAAAGCCAAGGAGACTCACGTTAATCAATTATTCCGAAGAGAACAGAAAACTATTTTTCACATCGTTGTTCCCGCGTTATGCTAAAGGTAGTTTACATTCACCAGCCATTTACATTTCTACAGGTAACAATTTCGAAGTTATTCGAAATTTGTAACATGAATAAATTTTTTTGACGACGATTTTCGAGTATTTACATAAAACGTCGTATTTTTTATTGCCAGCATATGGCAGAATCGTATGCATAGGCTCGCAGTAGGACAAATCGGAAAATTTTGAATTTCGTCTATCATCATCTATCACGAATTGAAAAAAATGTTTTAGACAAATCATACGTACTTTTAGTCGTAGACTCCGATTTGCAATAAAGAATAGCATTTCCTGTTTAAGGTTTCAAAGTTAACCCCTGCTCCACATACAAGGAGAGGGAAAGTGGGGCTAATTTTAGCACTAGTGTATTTCCCCCGCTGTATGGTTACATTTTGAATCTGGACACATTTTCGCAGAGTGTTTATTTTCCGAGATATTTGAAAGTTTCAGGTTCAAAAAATCACCCGGTATATGATTTCATAAAATTTAAAAAATATTTATTGTTAAACTTTTTGAGGGGATGGCGTCATGTTGTTGTTGGGGATGACAAATTTTAGTTAGCGTTTAACTATTTACATGATATTTCTAATATACACACAAAATTTGACAACAATCGGTCCAGTGGTTTGGAGGTTACGTATTTAATAAAAATGGATATAGACGCCAGACAAACAGACAGACAAACACAGAGAAAAAGAGACGGAATCGGGAGACTACTTATTTCGTACTCTAGGGGTCATAAAACGTCGAGAAAACATAGAAGTGGCCATTCATTCGATGGACCCGATTATTATACTGTCTTAGCTTACTCTCAGGAAATAATCATAGATAATAGCAATAATATCATAAAAAACAAAAGATTCTATGCGACATTCGAACCGTAATCGATTTTCGTGTTACATGTTTGAAACCAAACACTCAGCCACAGAACAACCTTCCAACCACTCCGCTTATACTAGTACTAGCTGACCCCGTGAACTTCGTTTCACCTACAATTTAATTTTGAATCTGCAAAATCGAATGCTTTGAAATCTTGCAGATGTTTTAAACATATGATAAGCATAATAAATTTTTATTCAAAATACATTTACTTATCCCCTCCAAAAAATTGATGACGTCAGCCCAAAATTTTGCCAAATGAATCCTGTCTAAAATGTCCAAAATAGGATGAAACTATACTTGTGATTTATCATTCCATTCAAATTTTTTAATTTTGCTTATACGGGGTGTCTCAAAAAAATTAATCACTGAGTCAATTTATTTTATTGATTGAATCAAGAACTGCAAAACTGAATTTTGAAATTTTTTAGACATTCTGAAGTTACTGTTTGACATGGTAGGTTTTCAATCAAAATATATCTGTTTATCAAGCCCAAAAACTTGAAGACGTCATCTCAAGATTTTGCCGAATAAATTCTATCTAAAATGTGGAAAACATCATCAGTATATTTTCGTAATTTATCATTGCATTCATATTTTTTAGATTTGATTTTACAATGACTCAAAAAAATATATGGATCAGTCAATTTATTTTAGTGAATAACTCAAGAGTTGCAAAAATGAATACTTTGAGATCTTGCAGACGTTTTAAAGTTATTGTAAGCATGGTAAATTGTTAAGAATATTTATTTATTCCCCCCAAAAAATTGATGAAATGGCTCACTCGATTTTCGCAGATAATTTTGGGAATACAATACAGTTATTTTTAGTATTACACTGCACCAATCCAAGGTGGTATACGTGTTGATAGTAAATGTTGATTAGGTCATCACAAAATTGTGTGAAGAACAGACTCAACTCGAAAATGCTGAATAGGTTTTATTATACTTTTGGTGCGAAGGAAGTTCTGTCGAAACAACGTTCGATCAATTTTTTGACAATGGTTGATATAAATAAAACTCAGTAGATGCTCATACTCGAAATACGAAGTATCTACTCGAATATCAAATCAAAATATTTCTAGTTTTTCTAGATGATACTAATACTTCAGTAAGTAACAGTTGATGCTCAAGTAGCATCTCGATACAACAAAAAAAGACAACAGTGACAGTGTTCAACCATCAAGCCAAAAATTGAGTTACCAAAATATAAGTTAGCATGGGGTAGACACCTTGAGATGGAAATCTCTATGGCCAGTGTTAGAAAAAACGCACTGCACAATTTATGCATAAATAAAAGTTAATTACATGAAAAGTTTTCGATATTCCTGCTCCTAATGTGTTTTTCAAACTGAATGCACCTTTTGACGACGTTCCACGTTCATGAAAGTCACCATGTTTAGTTAAAATTCACTCTTACAACGATCCTACAGGTTTTCTAAGCTGCTTTACAGACAGCTTAGTTATTTGCCACGCCGATGCTCATTTCTAGATTAAATGCTCACAAAACGCGTAGATGTTAAGTTTGTGTCCGGAGAGGTACAATGTTTCCAAGTAGGTACTCAGTACATAGAGTAGACGCTCAGGTATATAAGATTACTAGGTACTTTGTACTTCGAATATGAGTATCTACTCACTTTTATTCATACCACCCAATGTCTCGCTTCAATGTTTGATTATGTTGATTATGAGCACAACACTGATCAGCTTCCGTATCCGATTTACCCATGAAATAAATCATTGCGGTTTGCACCTGAGGTAGTTCGTCGCACATTTGATTGACTTCGTGGACCTATGTGAGCTATCTCGGCATTTTAATGAACTTCAAAAAACGACACAGAATTATTTTCACAGTCAATCAAATCTGTAAATTTTGTCTTGAGAATTTTAAAATATTGAAAACTTCAAATTAAATCCTCGAATAACGGTAAAGTTTGAGGTTTTGTCGAAATCAACAAAGTGAATATAGGTAAAAAGAATGGCAGATCAAAATGAATAAGAAACTTTCGCAATGTAAAATAAACGACGTTTTTTTTTTACGAAAAAACAAAGAACGATTCGAAATGCAATATACTTTTCACAATCGCACGGAAGAATTAGTTTTGTATGACACGTCAGTTAGACGACAGGTCCGTTAGAAACGCCAACTATTGAAATTAATTTGAAGTGGCGATTCCCATACAAAATTTTTAGATTTTTTTAATTTTTTAACTGTTCTTTTAAGTTATCCTTATTTTTTTTTATTTATAAACCATCCCCGTAATCATTGATTAAATACATATGTATTTAATCAATGCCGTAATATAAAAAAATGTTCAAATCGGTCAAGCCGTTTTTGAGTCTTAGCGAGACTAACAGGAACAGTAATTGATTTTTATTTTATAGACGATTAAAAAATGGGGGTTGGTGGTAGAAAGGTAAAAATTTAGGGTTATGTGTATTTTTTGGTGCCAAATCTTAAAAAAATAAAAATAAAAAATAGACAAACATTTTTTAGGGTGGGCCCCTTATCACTTAAAGGTTTAAAAAATAGTTTACAACTTATTGTCAGACCTACCGAATATGCATAAAAAATTTCATACAAATCGGTCAACCCATTTCGGAGAAGTTCGGTTACAAACACTGTGACGCGAGAATTTTATACATAATGCATTATTATTTTAGAACAAATTTCATTACCATAAAAAAGGTTATACTGACTCGACCTTAAAAGATAGACATATGCTGTCGCGGACTTTTCTTTAGATCTTTTAGAGAGGAACAATTTCGTCATACATGATTTTCACGTAACTTTAACCGTTTAAGCAGCGTAAGCAACGGAAGCTGTCAAAGGAGGAATAATTTTCCCGTTTTTCCGAATTTTTCATTGCTACTTCGCTCCTAATTATCGTAGCGTGATGTTATATAGCCTATATGTAGATATGATACATGGACTATCCAACACAAAAAGATTTTTTGAATTTGAACCAGTAGTTTCTGAGATAAGCGTGTTCAAATAAACAAAAGCTTCAGGTTTATTATATAAGTATAGAGTATAGATAACAGTTTGCGGTACAATTCGTTTTATTTGCGAAAATTTGGATGCTCTGAAGAAAATCTAAAGACGGATTCATAAACAACAAACCCAGGAGTATGTTATTGGTGTGGGATGATCAGAAAAATTTTGGTTAGCGTTTTACCATTGAGATTAAAAACGGATACCTACACCAGATAGGCAGATAGACAGACAGACAGACAAACGGAAACGGGAGATAACTTTTTTTTAGTTTTTTCGTACTCTAGGGGTCATGAAGCGTCGAGAAAATATGAAAGTAGCAATTCGTCAGATAGACTCGATTACTAACTTCCTTAGCTTATGCTCGGGACGTAATAATGTGCAATCAACAAAAAATGCCCTCAAGTTGGCTTTGGATGAGTAAGTTGTCTTGTCACTTACAAGGGGAATGAGAAAGAGAGCTAAAAATATAGCGCCTACTTGAGCACAATTTTAGTGTTGCACATTATTGTTCCTTCTATTTTCGTCTACAGTTGTGTCGGACTGAATTAAGTACAATTATTTTTAGTTATCACATTTCAATTATATTACGCTATTACACAGTATTACAGTACATAATAATTTACAATTTACTAAGTCAAGTCAATTTTTCTTTAATATCTGTACCCACCAGCACCACCAGATTGAAGAGGAAGTGAACCAGAACCAGATGGAACACCGTATTGTCCTGCGCCTCCAGCTTGGTTTTGTTGAATAGACTTAAGAATGGCATCAGGAATTGGGGGAGATGTAGGCAAATGATCACCCACGGGTTGAAAACCATTTTCGTCAGCAATGTAGGAGACAGTGATTTTTTGGCCGTCAGGAGCGGTGTAGGTGAAAGATCCAGTTGCAGACTGAGCTTCGTCTTGGGAACCGGGATTTTTCAATTGTCCTTTTTCGTCACCAGCAATGCCATTTCCGGTCTCGTAGGAATAACTGTAGGTACCGTCGCCGTTGTTGTTACTTTCGAGGCGCAGGATTGGAATTTGAGCACCACCAGCACCACCAGCACGACCACCGCCTCCAGCGCCGCCGCCACCAGCACCGCCGCCACCAATCCTAGAACCACCACTTGATGGAGGGAGGTATTTGCTGTTCAGCTGTGCCGTAGCGAAGCCAACGAGGGCGAGGATTACCACAATCTGAAATTATTATTTAAAATTTGTTATTACAGTTATTGTTTACGTGTGTGCAATACTCACTGAATGCATGTTGGAAAATGATATGATTACTTGCTGTATGACTTTGGCTTTTATACCAAAAATCCCACTAGAAGAGATGACACTAACTCAACGTAAAACCAGATTATCTATGCACAGGGCAAGGTTAAATTTAATGTAGTTCGCACATTACTGAAAATAAGTAATCAATACGCATATTTTTGTATTGACCTTAATTTTAAATTTTATTGGAATTTCGTTCTCACATTAATTTGCAAGTGGTTTTTCTAAAACTTTTGGTCGATTTTAAATTCTTCTTCGATTTGGCATTTTTCCTGGTTCTTTCAACGAGGTGTTATAATTAGAAAAACATGTCTAGACTAGTTGGTGCATATTAAAATGCTACACAAATTATATCAACACAAGTTGGTATTTAATTTGTTTCGTATGGTATTTTTTAATGATGTTCGAATTATTTCATCAATTATTTTAATGAGCGTCATCACTAAAAAATTTAAGTCTGCATAAAACACATGTTGCAAAAAACCTTTTCAAGAACATTAAAGAGATGTAAAACGAAATAACAGTTAGGTAATGAGATCAGTAGGTATCCAAATAAATTCAATAAATTGTTTTTGTCGATATATCCACCAGGAAGTAAATTAGCGCTCTGCTAAATATTTTTTTCTGCTACCGATAGCGTAAATGAATCTTATTGCTCCAGTGACACTGATGTAAGCGTAAGTGAAGTAAATAGGGCAACCTCGTTGCTAGCTCCGTAAGTAGGTTACTAAGGGCGTAAGTGTTACTTACGCTGCCAGGACAAAAAAGTAATGAAAGTAGTAGAATGTCAGAGAAATGTCAATAATTTCATTTTACAGCAATAGTTTCTTTTATAATTATTTATTAATATTAACTGTAACACTACACTCAGTAATATTTATTAAAGGATTATTATTTGAAGTTATTTCAAAATTAGTAACTGTCACATTTTCATCAACTGCATGAGCTTCCAACATTTTCTTATATAATTGAGGTAACAAACAGAAGAACTGACACGACGTTAATTTCAGCATTGAATATTCACACCATAAACTGCTAGGAGACTTGCGGGCTTCGGATCTTTCCTTAAAATAACCAAGCATTACGGTTTCATTAACATCTTGAATGTTTCGTGATGTATACCTACCAAATTGAAAATGCGTTGTAAGTTTCAGTATAACGGAATTTCGATTTTTCAGGTAACAGACATGCGCAAGCAATATTGGCAGCTTCTTCTATTGCCTGTAAATGACTTGAATCACTCATTTTTCACTTTGAACAACTACATTTTAGAAAACTTCACTTGTAAACAATTTTTTTTTATCTTGTTGCTACGGAAATGAATACGTTCAATGAGTTCCTGATAATTTCTTAAATATTTTTTAGTTACTAGAATTATTACTTTTTAGTGTTACTGGTGTCGGTAGCAGAAAAAACGTAATACAATACACGCTGCGTAACTCCTTTCTTAAGTCTCGGAGGTTTGCCGGGCCTCGGCGTTGCCTCGGCCCGTCAAATCCACCTCGACAAAAAAAGTTTACTTACGCAGCTTGTAATGTAAATAACTATTAGTTTTTTGTTTTACTTTGCGAGTGTAAGCTAAGGAAGTATTGTAGTAGGATTCATTTGCAGAAGGAATAATCTCATGTTTTGGACGTATTATACCTCCCAAAGTATAAAAAAGTAGATCTTTCGTTTCGGTCCGTCTGCAGGCGATTTTATTGCACAAAGCATCTTTGAAATTATTGAACAGATTACTGTGACATGGTTTGTTCGTCCCAACTAAAAGTTTGATGACGCCATACAAAAATGTTGCTAAATTAAACTTATTTTTAGTCGACAAAATAATATTTCTGCACCTATGGTTTATTAATTCACCATTACTTTTAATCCTACGTATTTAAATTTTTAGAAATTTCGGAATTGTACAACAAAATTTTACTATTTACTTTAAAAACTGCAAAACTATATGATTTTCTTATTGTATTATTTTTCTTTTCTGCATTAAAAACGGAAATACATATTTTTTTCTCTATTGCATTATCACCATTATTAATGTCAAACGTGCTTTTAGTTTTATTTTATTTTAATGTCCTACTTAATTTTGATTCTGTATTATTGGAAATTATCCATTAAGTGGAATATTTGTTCTGTTTTCTGTTGGATATTATTATTACTATCATTTTTAAAATTTATTGTTCTGAAATTATGTGCACGATTTATGGTTGTAATAAATATGGTAGAGCGCTAGTCAGAGTTGAAAAAAATTCTGAAAATTTTATAAAGTAAGTCTCACTTGAAATGTACAAAATATGCTCCTGTATGTATAATATGTATACCTGTTTAATCTTCCCTTATTTTTCAAGTTAAATAAATTGCCCGTCAAAAGTTAGAGATATTGTTGTAAGACATTTTTTTCTAAATTTCGAAATAATTGAATAGCCTTAAACTGAATAAATTTAAATATCCCTGTTAAAAAAAAAAAAATTACGTGCCAAGTTTGGATTACAGAAATCGAATATTCGGATTATGGCATTCACTGTATGAAGTGTTTCGGATTACCGAAATTTTCGGATTATAGGAGGTCCGGGTTAGATATACATTACTGTATTTTATGATTATATGGCATTATTATTGAAATTTAAAAGAACTTCATTTAAAAATTATTTTTGTAAAACAAACTAATTTGTATTGACTTGAACAACGTTTACTTGTTTTCATTTTACTTGTTTTCCTTTATAATAAAGCTCAAGTTATTCCATTTTAACAATTTTTTTGATTTTGTATATATCTAGCCTGAAGCAAACACTGTGAAAAAAGTACATTAATAACATAGTTACTATAGAAACACGCCTTGGCCGGTGCGCTGGTAGTATATTATTAATAATATACAAGTTTAATGAGACGTTTTATTGTCGCACGAGTTGTATGCGGCACGATAAGCGAAACGAGGAGTGCTTTGGAGGATGTCGGTATTGTTAAACGAGTATAATAAATTATTTTTTTTACTTTGCCCACGATTTTGGAAAATCTTGTCTTCTTTATAATTTAGGAATTTTTGCATGCGATTTGTACATATGTGGTGATCTTGCCAAACCCAAATAGTACTTTTTTACATTCATGTGAAATCAAATTCAGTGTGAATTCATACCGACACGCGAAAAAAATTGGCCTAAAATTATTTAGGAGCACTTCCTTAGCCCCTGAAGCGCAATCAAATAAATCCAGTATTTTAGACAAGTTATAAAGTTATTCTGAGAATTTAATTTTTTATGATATAGAATAAAATATAGATAAACCACAAGTAAAGAAATATGCAGTGCGTGCATTTTAAGTAAGTTTTTGTTAGTAAAGTTTCGTTAATTTTTTATTAACGATTAATACATCTACATATTTAATAAGTACAGTATAATGCTAAAAACGGCAGCACCTACATCATTCAGAGAATTTTAGGAAAATGAGATAAGCCGTTTTTATTTAATGAAATAAAGTAGGATTTATCATGCAAAATTTTGAGATGGTGTCGCCAAGTTATTGGTGAGTATGATCAGACAAATTTTGGTTAGTGTTTCACCATTAACACAACTCTCTTAAATTACAGTCAAAATTTGACAATAACCAGTGCAGAAGATTATTATCTATTTAATAACATCACCAGGAGAAAATAGACTAGGCGACAAGCATACATACTGTAGGATTTATAAAACTTCGAGAAAACGTGAAATTAGTTATTTATAATCAAATGGATCCATTTATAATAATTCCTCAATTTTCGGCTGGGAAGCTAAAAAATTTTCAGTATCTATGAGTTAAAAGAAAATACTCTAAAAAGTTTAGGCAGTAACTCCCTCACTCTCAAGACCAGACTCCATTCCTATCAGGCACGTAACCAAGGGGGGCCGGGGGGGGGGGGCACAGGCCACCCCAACAAAACCCTGTGCCACCCCTGGTGCCCCCTTAAATTAATTTTAAATTTTAAAAGTAAAGCAAATTCGAAATTTCAGATCAACAGTAAGTTTTAGTTATGAGTAATCATAACAACAAAGTTCTTATCTTGTAATATAACTCTCTGAGGAAAGCGATACTGCTGTGAACAGTTTTGTTGATAACTTTTTTAAGCAATTAGCTGCTACAACTTAATGCCAACTCATTTCTGACAAGATTTTATTAATTTTATATTGACTACTAGCGAAGTTTTTTTAAACTGCTTTTTGAATTATTGGCATATCATAATAAATACTATATGTATTTCTAGTACATATACATACCTATATACAAAAAGGAAGCATTTCCGTACAGTAAAGTCACTAACGCACTAACGTGAATATCTTGATTATTGTACCTTTCAATATTAAAAGTAAATACCCGTGAATTTCAACTATTTGAACCCCATTAAATTTAGATACTGGTTGTGGTCCAAGTAAAATGTTGTTTTATACTAATGAAGACTTTTTTTAAAGGCCCCGTTATTTGAAATTAGTGCCCGGGCTGGGCCCCTCCAAAATAAAAGGCTGCTTACGTGCTTGATTCCTATCATGGTTTCTATTCACCAGATTTCATTCGGCAAAACGGCTATAAACGGATAAATTTTGATTAGTGATTTACCATACTGCCGATAACCTTAAAACTCATTTTGATTTTATTTAAATCTCATTGTCTAGGCCAGAATCTCAACACGAATTCATAAACCACAAGTGCAGGGGTATGTTATTTTATAAAATTTAAATAAGATTTATTACTATTATAATATTTGAAGATACCATCATCAAATTGTTGATACGGATGATTAGACAAATTTTGGTTAGCATTTTATCATCTACCTACATCTAAGATATTCTCTTTGCCACTTTATATTGAAACACCACCTGTTGATTTTGTTTAAAATTTAGCAGTTGGTAACAGCTTTCGGTATTGTGAACGGTTTTTAGTTAGAAAAATGTTTGAATATGAACGTTGCCAAATTTACGATCAACAAGTGGCGTTTCAATATAAATATGTAGAAAGACTATATTTCTAAAATTTGACAATAA